GTGATAAAAGTCAACCATTACAAAGTAAAGAGAAGAGTTGTTAGTTTCATTGGGCAAAGAGTGTTAATAAACATTGCCGATGCATTAAGTTTAACTTCCATCAAATTCAAGTAACTTTGTCGGAAATGGATGGATGCACCAACTAAATAGGAGCACGAGGTAAATGCAAAGGAGATGCAAATATGGTGGCACAAAGGAGACAAAGTGCCAATTGAACACCTTTTATAAATGGAATGTTAACTTGCATAGTGGGAAGTTCAAATGTTTCAATAGGGCCATTTTATTCTCCATGTAATCTTTCTCTTATTTTCTTTTTTATTACATTCAAATGTTGCATTTTTTCTAGGATCAACCACTTGATGACATTGCACTTATAGTAATAATTAATCTCTCTGAGAGCAAACATTGGAGTTGGAGAGCTTCCGAAGTAGGGAAAGTAAAAGTGTCCCTCTATGAAGCTATGCTCTTTGACCTCACTAAATCTTTTGAGCAGTCATCAAAAACTTTAGCTGCATAGAAAGCAAGGTTTGCTGGTACAGGTTTGAACTTAGACAAGCTTTGAAAGCAGGTTGGTAGAAGGACAACACTAGCAATAGGGTCAATGTTTAAGGCGGTGGAGGAAGTTGTTGAAACTCCTATGGAATCAAATTATGAACAATTTAGGGACATAAGAACAGCCCGTATGAAACATTAATAGACATTTGATAGGCCCAACATCACTCCTTCCAACACTCACTGTCTAGAGTTTAACTACTATTCTATTCCACGACACCAGAGAAGAATTAAAGAACATAAAGTGGAGAAGGTGCTAGTTGTTACACAAGTAAATCCAGTATCAAGGGTTGAAAAGGTTATTGCTTGTGACCTAGTTTTTCATATCAACTGGGCAATTCAAAGAGTTAGTGCCAAGAGCAATACATGTTACTCTGGAATGACTGGGAGTCAAGGTCAATGTCTTGCATTTGTGCACTCAAGTTCAAATTCTCCAGTAGTGCCATGTTTCTAGGGTTGTTGAGATCTAGGGGTAAAGGGCTGCTAGTCAAGTTGGATTTACTATTATGGGACTGATGTTACTTATACAAATTGGATCCACAACTCAATTATTTCAAAGCTAGATTTTGTGCTAGAGGGTGGCAAGTTGAGCAAAGCTGCAAGCTTTTGCACATAGAGGGTTTAGGTTCCAATTCATGGTCACCCTATTGCAAAACACCGATTGAAAGTTTGGAGAGAGCAAGTTTCAAGTTGAAGACTTCCTCAACTGTTGTTGTTGATGCTACTATACCACTAATATCAACACTAGATTGGCATACACAATTAGCTAAAAATAGGAAGGCTATATAGTATAGGTTTTCCATTTTGAAAGGTGCACAAGAGAAGATCAAGCTAGTAAAGGAATTAAAGTGCACAATCACAAAGACAAACTATATTAGCATTGTGGCTAAAGAGTTTGTTGTTGTAACTAAGTCATCAAAGGGTATGAGCTACACTATCAGAATTTGTGAAAATCCATCATGTACCTGTCTAGATTTTACACCAAAGGAGAATAGGGGAAAGGTATATTTAGCCTGCAAGCACATCTATTATATTTTTATGTAGAAACTAACCCAAGATTCTAAGATTGACCATTACATCCACCAAACAAGTATTATAATTGCAGAGCTTGAGAAATGTTTCTAGATTGCTTTTAGTTTTCGTATCTATATTTATAATTATATTTTATTAGTCAAATTTACTTGGAAATATAGATTAAATCAAAATTTGAAAGATGAAAAAATGTTGGTTCAAAATGAACCAATGTTTTTCTTGTGTTTGAAAAGTCATGAGTTCAACTCGGGAGCTCATGAGCTCAAAACCTACCCAGGCTTAGATATTACAATGGTGATCTGGAAGTAGGTGCTAATAAAATGTCCACTAGATCATTTTTATTCATTCATTTATATTTTTTTTATATGGTCTCAGAGCCCACCCAAGAAGCGTGAGACCAAGGGATTTTTATTTTTATTTACAGTATTTTTATTATTCACATCCACATTTACTACAGGTGTTGAGGTAAAATCATTATGTTGCTTTAGACCCTCCTAGACTTCTTGTGCAAGCTATGATCTACGCCATTGAAAAAGGTGTGGCTGGTCTTAGCCTTAAAATAAGGAAAGGAATACAACTAGCAAAAGGATTCTCATACTAGAGTCTTTCTAATTGGCTTGGCAAAACTTTGAAACTTTCAGGTACCAAAGCTATTGTGATAAACATTGTAATATATCAAAAGTCTCAGATTGATGATTGGGTCATATGGCACAAAGTGGATTTTTTTATAGAAATGTATGAGTTGTTATAATTACCCCTTCTAGTTATGATCTAATATTACTAAAAAACTTTGGCCAAGTTTTGGGACTTGTGTTTCGGGAAGGATGCTGTCACTATATTCAGGATGGGAGGAGTCCAATGATGGCATAGAAGGTAAGCAGTCAACAGGATTTTATTTGGAATTTATCCTATTAAAGAACACATTCTAATGTAGATGAAAGCACTTGTTTAAATTTCAAATTGCTTCACTACCAATTAAATACTAAAAAAAATTATATTATATAACTTTTCTTCATTACATTGGGGTCTAAGAATTTATAATTTCAAGTGCAAACAGTTCCAGGGAATTTGTGTGACCTGTCCTTAGTGATGTTTGCCACTGCTGCTGCTGTGTGGAAGCTTTGGTTCCATGACTTTGTGATCTTGTGACTGGGGCTCTTCGTGGTGATGCCCATGCCGAAACGCTGCTGCAGTGACAACATCATGATCCAGGCAAGCTAATGCAAGCATGAAAAGGACAAAGAGGTGCCGAAGCAAGCTCACAAGTGCCATTCTTGAACTGCGAATTGCTGAGCCTAGGTTGTGTATTTTATAGAGAAACACCACATAAGAAACGTCAAAAGAGGGGTGCTCATGTTATCAACAAACATGCCCCACAACTTTTGACATTTAAAAACAAGACAATCACCGAGTGGATAAACATAATGCGTGGAGTGTTTTGATGCCTTGTGTACAAAGCTGGGGGAGCAAAACACACTGTGGGAGATTATATTCCATGGAGAAATGTCAAAAGGCAGAGTGGGGTTCTCTTAAGTAGATTCTCACAAAAGCAGCACTATTTTGTTGACAAAAACTGTCATTATTTCCAGCATTAAATAATATTGAATCTGAGACTAGATGAGAAGCACGCTGTCAAGCGTGCTTCTCATCAGCCTTAACAGCGTCAGTAGCAACAGCATGGCCACCGTGACCACCGTGGCCACCATGCCCACCATGACCACCTCCTTGAGTCTCAATCGATTCAACACTACCAGCGTGGCTGTGGCCACCGTGGTGCCATCCAGATCCATACCCCTCCAGCTCCGCATCAGAATGTCCGTGACCACCGCCATACCCACCATGGTAGCCACCACCATAACCACCGTGTCCATATCCATATCCTTCCGGCTCAACCGAGTCATGACCACCACGGTAGCCACCATGGTAACCACCACCGTAACCACCGTTTCCATATCCATATCCATGTGGCTCAACTGAGTCACCGTGGCCATGACCATTGCCGTTGCCACGGTGACCATACCCACCATGGTCCCCATATCCTTGTGGCTCAGCTGCATTAGCGTGGCCACCATAGCCACCACGACCACCAGAGCCACCGTGGTAGCCTTCTGTGTCAGCATGGCCGTGGTGACCGCCACCACCATAGCGGGATCCTTCTGGCTCGGCAGAGTGACCGTGACCACCACCATACCCCTGTGGGTCTAGCGATTCATTCTCTTTCTCTGGGACAACTCTAGCAGAGAATGCGAGGTGGGAGGCACAAAGCAATGCTGCGAGAACTAGAGAGACGCTCTTCATTGTATCTTCTTTCTAGTTTTGGAAGCTAGCCCGAGAAAGGAGTGAAGAGCTTCGGTTATATAGAATATCGAGCATTGACAATGTCAAACATTGAGAATTTCATAACTCTTAGTGGAGGGAGAATCTTTGAAAATGCGAGGGGGCCGAATTATACCATCCCAAGAAGATCACGTCTTTGTTTCTTCTCATGAAATTCTTGTTAAAATCTTAACTTTAAAATTCTTTTCTTTCGTCTTGTTCTTGGAATCCAAAGGAATGCTGTCTAGAAAGCCTTTTTGTGCCATTGTCCTGACTGCATTGTCAAAAAAAAATAAAAATGGGAAGATGCATCAAGCTAGTCCATGATTGTTCATGCAAAAGCAAATTTACAGCTTTCATAAATGTTTCATGTGACATAAATTTGACTCATTGCATAATAAACATTCAGAAAATGCCGATTTTCTATCAACTGTGTAAAAAACATAGACATTTTTATAGTGCAGTTCTGAAAAATTCACTTAAAAATTCATATTTCTGGAGATTTTGAGCTTCTCCCTACAACGTTTTCACAATAACATTGGCCACCATTGATCGTGCAGAGAGACTGTTTAATGTTGTGTCAGCTAATTGACCTCAGTTGTCAGATTGAGAGGTGCTCACAAGACACACTCAGTGGTGCAAGGAGTGGAAATCTGGGTTATGCATAGCACTGCTGGTGGAATTGAGATTTTGCAGCACCAGGTTGCACTCCTTGTTCATGTGAGAATGTTTTTCTTTTTTTCTCACAGCTAGAAAAACCATGGGCTCCTAACATTTGCAAAAATAACAGGGACATGATCACCAATAACTTCATGAGAACAAGAAACAACTACATTTCCCTGAGAATCAGTGTGCCTATGCCCTGCCCTGGTGGCGAGGACAAACAGACAAAGAGATTGCACATGCCACTTCAGAGATCTTTCACAATGGCAACAGCACCTAGCCAGGCTCCCAATCACAGGATGTTATATGCCTGATGTGGCAGCCTAGGAGAGGCATTTTGAGGGGATGGATCACAGCAAGAATGTAGTGGCATGGAATTGTATCATTCTGGGATGTGTGTACAGGGGTGAGGATGAATTGGACACCTCTTCTCTGCCATGGGGCCTGTTGCTCTAAATCACATAATGTTCTTAAGGTGTGCACTAGCCTTGTGAAGAACAATTAGCTACTAATGAAACAAATAAGGAGTGAATCCTAAACTAACCTCCCAACTTTTAAGGCATTATAACTTTAACCATAACAACCCAAAGGTCATAAGTAAAGTCTATTAAAATGTTATCCTATTTGTTATCAGGTATACATATAAGATGATAGAAGCCAACAAGCTTTTAATGATTAATTTTAACTACTTGGTAACTCAAACAACCACATATATACTTCTTAACATTTGATTTTATCCTAAACCAAAAGAGGTGCCTCTTCACCAACATATACATCTTTAGTACCCTTGGATGCCTAACACTTAGCACATTATAACACTTAACTAAAATTTGTTTAATGAGTTTATCAATACAAGGAATCACTACATATCCCTTCTTCATTAAGATTCCATCTTATATCTCAAATGATGCAAATTTGTTACCCTTCAAATCTTTAGAGATGTCCCTTAACAAATCCTTCACGTGAATATTAATGATAAAAGAGTTGAAATTAACAAACTCCTTAATCTCATCCAAGAAGTTGCTAGATAGTTTCACGAATGAGATAAAATTTATTATTCTAGATAATGCATCAAACACTTTATTGTCACCTCTATACTTGTACCAGATTTTAATAGATAATTCTTGTAGGAATTCTTGCCAACAAGCAAAATGGCCTCAAAGATTCTTTTGACGACTAAAATATTAAAGAAATTGATGGTTTGAATCCATATGGAAGTCTGATCCATAAAAATAATGTCACCATTCCTTCATAGCAATAATCATAACATACAACTCTTTATCTTGAACAAACCAATTTTGTTGTATGGTTAGACTTGTGGCTCATAAACATGGCCAACTTGAAGTATTATGCCCCAATAGTAATGTCACTTATATCTGTTTCAACCATAAGAAGCTTAATCACCAACTCTAAAGCATTAGTCAATGAAGTATCATTATTGCCTATCTTTGCCTATAGATTCCACTGTAGTCACATTAACATTTGCTAACCCCTTTAGAACAATATTTGCCTCAATATCCAACTTTGTAACATCAAAAACAAGTGCCTTCCACTTTGTCCTTCTTTTGCTAGTCCTTCTTCAATGAAGTTTCTTAACCTCATTGCCATTTTCATTCTTCAAGCCCCAATGCAACAATGGTTGTTTTTTCCTAAATATAAAGCATAGGTTGGCTGATCATTACATTAACTACCTTTTAAACCATTTTGTTGACTAAAGTTGACTAAGTTGACTGAAAAATCTGAGCCTTAATGATAACATTATTGGGAAAATCATTTTTGACCTTTTATAACACATTCATTGATCTTAAACCTTTGATGAAACATTGCACCTCATTATAAATACCTATAAAACTAAGATAAAGATCATAGAACTTGCCAATATATGCATCTAAAGACAAAATCCCTTATTTAATCTCTAGCAACTAGTTCATAAAATTAACCTTTTTAAACTTTGCTGGCAGATCTGCTGGCAGAGTTTTCACGGCCATCCAACAAAGACATAAACCAGCTCTTGTGGATTCCGAGACTGGTGAAGGAAAGCTGGCTTTGGATCTCTACGTACAAAAATGAAGGAAGAAGGCTGTCCAGTGAATCACGTCACTATACTCGCAGCACTCAAGGCCTGTGTAAGCTTACGAGAACAGCAAGGCACAGTGCTTGGAGAAAGGCCGGAGGATTCACTGAGACGCTGCAACCACCGGAAACAAACAGCAGATCTTCGTAGCAAGCGCTTTAGTTGACATGTACATGAGGTGTGGAAGCTTGGCCGACGGTCGCGGTGTCTTCGAGAAGATGGCAGCGAAACACGGTGTTGTGGAACTCTCTCATTCTGGGAAGCACGGAGAGTGGCCAGGCCGACGCAGATCTCGAGCTCTACGCTCGAATGAAACGGGAAGCTTAAATCCGGATGCTACAACTTACGTCGCGGTGCTCAAGGCTTGCGGAAGCTTGGAAGCTCTAGAGGCCGGCAGGAAAGTGGAGGCAAAGATTTCCAGCGCCGGGATCCACATGGTGGTCTGCAACAGCATGGTAGATTTCTATGGGAAGTGTGGAAGCATGGCGGACGCTCGCAGAGTTTTCGAGTGGATCAGAGGCAAGAGAAGAGGCATTGTTTCCTCTCATTGATGGATATAACCGGGTGCTAGCAACAGGCCTTTGAAGCGTTCGAGAGGCTTTGTAGCAAAACTCCACTCCGGCCTGGCGATGCTAGTGCTATGTAGCCATGCCAGATCGAGCCAAGGATTACTTCCGTGGAGCACGGGCTTGCTCAAGAGCTGATCGACTAGACGAGGCCATGGCTATGGTCCTTGCTCTTAGCTCGTCAAGGGAAGGCTTTCCAATCCATAAAAAAACCAGTGGTTGGTAGGTCAACCTGAAGAGCCTTAATTTGGAACTCAAGGACTGTAATGGAAAGCGTTTGCGCCTCGACTAAGAAATAATTGGAAGAGACGCTTAGCTACCACCAGAGGTATACGCAGGTATAAAGTGCAATTTGTAAAAAGGTGGAAACAACTGTGGCATTTTTCTCACAATACACTGTCCATGTGGCAGTTTTCTATTGGTTCAACATTAAATGTTAATTCCATGCCCCATGGATGCTAGCCCGATGGGTATGGGTGGACACATTCTCATCGAGGTTCTTTCTCTTGGGAAAAATATTTGATCTAAGCAAGAATCCTAGTAAGAAGTGCTTTCTTTTGGTGATCCTCTCTGTTTCATAAATTTTTTTCTGGCTTTCTCCAGGGCTTATGGATCGATCGAGCTACTGCGGCTGTTTGCCACATCTTTTCTTCGAGATCTTTGGCTGTGACTTGGGGAAGCACTGCGGAATACTGGGAATGGTCCTCAAAGCATGGCACCAGGTACTTAAGTGGCGCACCTCAAGATGGTTTGCTGGCTAGAGCTCTCTGGGAACAGGAAGTTGAGCCTAGCTCCAGGAACTTACACTGTCTCTTGGAAACTCAAGCTCGATTCCGACGCCTTTGGGTTAAGGAACCAGTGAGATTCAGCTTGGCAACTCTAGATGGAAGGGTGACGAACTCTTCGTGCTACCTGGACTCCGAGGGGCTCCAGTCTGCACATAACATGAATGACTCCATTCCGCACATAGCATGGTCATTGGTATGGGCATGAAGCCCCATCCGTGGCATAAGAAATGAATATTCGTGAAATATCCTATGCCTGTGTTTTTTCCACACTCATATTACACGTGGACCAATAGCAACCAGACACATATTGTGAGTGAAAAACACCACCCTTTTACGAATTGCACGCCATAAACAGGTGGCAAGGTGATAGATTTAAGTGTGCCTGTGTCCTGAGAGGAACTGGGCCAGTCATTCAAAAGCTGTACTCAATGCCAAACCGGACGAGGAAGTACCACAGGAATGCCGACTTCCCAGCGCCACCGTTGAGATGGCATAGAGATCATCGAAATCCTTGCGCAAGGTGAGAGCCAGCTTCATCGTCGTCTACTAGTCTGCGGACTTTATCTGGGAATTCACATCCGAAGGCCAGGTATCCATCCATGAGAAGAGGGAGTACCCCTTGAGTCAATGGAAAAAATGTGTTGTTCACCTCATCAACCAGAAGATTAGGAGTGGAAATCCTCTGGGCAGCAGGGTGCTAGCAGCATCCCCGGATCCTGCAAACACCAAGAGCGTGAAGCCAGTAGGGGTCGAGAACGAGTTCTTAGTCCACACTTGGGACAAGGACGACTTTGAGGAGCTGCTAGGCGTATGGAGACTTGAAAGCAAGGAAATGTGGGAAGAAGCTGATAGACTGCTTGAAGAAGCTGGCAACTCGAATAAGTGCAGGTGGTCGAACAAAGCCAGTGTTCTTCGGAATGAGGCAGATGGTTTGGATGCACGCATCAATGCAGCTGGCTTCTTTTACGATTGGTACAGTGGGATTCCTCGTCTGCTTCGTCAAGCAGCGGTTTGTGATCTGAGTGAACAAGCCTGGGAGAGGAAGATTCGGGCCAGTGTCATGTATTACTGTACGGACTTGCCGAAAGTTTATTGGGCCCTCCATTCCAGGGATGACATAGCATGCTTGCTCCTTCACTTCAAGCAGCCTCTTGCCGACAATGCCAGATTTTTGCTAGATTTTGCACCTTCGAAGGTAAAGGATTTGTTCACTGAAACACTTACATGCAGCAGGAAGACTTGATTATATATCTGGGGTCCACTGTGTGAGGATGTAGTACATCCGAGATCACCATACGGCTGAGACACGTGGTGACACGTGGTGGATCTGGAGAGTCACGATTCTCACCTGTGTATGTATGAGCGATAGAGTTTTTTCTCTTCTTCCTTAGTTTTCAACATGGTATCAGAGCTCAGGGATTAAATCCTGGGCTGAATGGAGGAGGAAGAGGAGGAAGACAATGAGCCCCCTGATCTGGAGCTGCTGTGAATTGCAAATATCAAGATGGAGGTTTTCTTGTTTATTTTGTCTTGTGCAGGCAACCCTAAAATGGAGGCGGTTCTTGATCGAGACTGGCCTGGATTTGAATTGAAAGGGTTGCGGCACTGCTTGCTACGGCTGGAGACGATCTGATGCCCCTGCTGCTACAAGGGAAGGCTTCCTTGGGTTGGAGATTTGCTGATGCTGCCAAGAGGCTTCTCTTCTTCTTGGGAATTGCTGTGCGCAAGGGCCTTGAGGCTGATGGAGAGATCACATTTGAGTGGGGGAGATGGAACAAAATGCTAATTCCTGACGGGTCCTGATACAAGCTGGGCTGTGTGCAAGCTTGGGTACCTTGGAACGTGCTGCTATTGTTGTTCAACACCACAAGATGCTGATTTCATGAGCTCAACTTTTCTCGGCTGAGTGGGGGGAGTGAGATAGGTTTCCCGGTGGTTTAGCATTAGTTTCTTTTTTCTGATCCAGCCTTCGCACACTGATCTCGGCTAAGTGGGGGTGTGAGGATGTAGTACATCCGAGATCACCATACGGCTGAGACATGTGGTGACACGTGGTGGATCTGGAGAGTCACGATTCTCACCTGTGTATGTATGAGCGAGAGTTTTTTCTCTTCTTCCTTAGTTTTCAACACACTGATCCTGAGCGGCTATTACCATGGTGAGGTTATAATGGCAATATCAACTTTATAGAGGAGATGAATTGTCAGTTTTAATTAGCTAAGGTATTACAATGGTGATCTATAAGTAGGTGCTGGTAAAGTGTCCATTATGTTATTTTTATTTACAGTATTTTTGTTATTCGCATTCACATTTGCTACAGGTGCTGAGGTAAAAACATTATATTGCTTCAGACCCTCCTAAACTCTGCTCTTGAGGCTTAGAATAAAGAAGGGAATATGGATTCTCATGCTGGAGTCTTTTTAATTGGCTTGGCAAACTTTTGAAACTTTCAGGTACCAGAGCTATCACGATAAGCATTGTAATGTATCAAAAGTCTCAGACTGATGATTGGGTCACATGTCACAAGAATTCTTCAAGTGAATTTTGTTTTATAGAAATGTATGAAAAATTATGAAATTTTTTGCAATATTCGGCTTAAAAAATGTAACATGTAATACAACTCTAAGTTCACTTTTATTTATTTTTATCTTGAACTGTGGTTGATAAGTTGGATGTTATTATGTTACTAAAAAACTTTAGCTAGGTTTTGGGACTTGTCTTTCATGAAGAATGTAATCACTACATTAGGGGTCCACAGCAATATTGGAATTATTTTCATGTTTTATCCTAATAACATAGTTAATAAAGTATATTATTCAAATTTATTTACAAAAACATTTTATTTAGCCAAAATATACTAACAAATGACATTGTCACAATTGAGGCTTATAATATCAAATGTATTCGTTATCATCATAGAAAATTTTAGAGATTGTTGTCTAATTAAGAAGTATGATTTACTACATAGTCTATATTACATCACATTCTGATGTAGATAAAAGCACTTGTTGAAATTTCAAATTGCTTCACTATGGCAACTAATATGTGCCATACTTTACTACCAATTAAAAGCTATTTTTTAAAAAACATTATATTATATCACTTTGAACATTCTCCTTCATGTTTCTACATGAGAATTTTACTAATGTTTATAGGAAGGTGCTAATGCTTAGCCAACAATGCTAGAAGGTGTGAAACCCAGGTGGGGATCTGAGAATTATAATTTCTTCAATTCGCAAAGGCCAAAACAGTTCCAGGGAATTTGTGACCTTGCCTTTAGTGATGTTTGTCACTGCTGCCGCTGTGTGGAAGCTTTGGTTCCATGACTCTGTGATCTTGTGACTGGGGCTCTTCGTGGTGATGCCCGTGCCGAAACGCTGCTGCAGTGACAGCATTATGATCCAGGCAAGCTAATGCGAGCACGAAAAGGACAAAGAGGTGCCGAAGCAAACTCGCAAGTGCCATTCTTGAACTGCGAATTGCTGAGCCTAGGTTGTGGATTATATAGAGAAACACCGTCTACAGTCACATAAGAAACGTCAAAAGAGGGGTGCTCGTGTTATCAACAAACATGCCCCAGAACTTTTGACATTTATCCACGGACGAAATTGTTTTATAAAAAATAAGACAATCACTAGCTTGTTTGCATGCAATAGTGGATAAACACAATGCGTGGAGTGTTTTGATACCTTGTGTGCAAAGCTGGGGGAGCAAAACACACTGTGGGAGATTATATTCCATGGAGAAACGTCAAAAGGCAGAGTGGGGTTCTCTTAAGTAGATTCTCACAAAAGCAGCACTCTTTTGTTGACAAAAACTTCCATCATTAAATAATAAAAATTATATTGAACATTATTTAAAAATATCTAGATGACTCAAGCGTGCTTCTCATCAGCCTTAACGACAGGATGGCCACCGTCACCACCGTAACCACCATGCCCACCTCCTTGGGTCTCAATCGATTCAATACTACCAGTGTGGCTGTGGCCACCGTGGTGCAATTATGGCCTGATCCACCATACGCCTGTGGGGTCTAGCGATTCATTCTCTTTCTCTGGGACAACTCTAGCAGAGAATGCGAGCTGGGAGGCACAAAGCAATGCTGCGAGAACTAGAGAGATGCTCTTCATTGTATCCTTCTTTCTAGTTTGGCTATTAGCCTGAAAGAGCTTGGGATATCGAGCATTAACAATGTCAGATTTCATAACTCTTAGTGGAGGGAGAATCGTTTGAAAATGCGGAGGGGCCGAATTATGGCATCCCAAGATCACGTCTTTGTTTCTTCTTGGTGCTAAAATCTCTACTTTAAAATACAATGTCTTTCGTCCTGTTCTTGGAATCCATAGGAATGATGTCTAGGAAGCCCTTTTCGCAAGCTCTGGGACTCTACAGAAGATGCACAAAAGAAAATTTAATTAGCTAATTTATAGTTGTCAACGGCCATATATTAACTTTAAAGATTATATGTTTTTTTCAATAGAAGCTCGATTTAAGCATGCTTTTCATCGACCTTAGCTTCAGTAGCAGCGTGGCCACCGTGACCGCCACCGCCACCACGACCGTGACCTTGAGTCTCAATCGACTCAGTGGTAGCGCTATGGCCGTGACCGCCACCATACCCACCGCCATATCCACCTTTACCACCGTATCCATATCCCTCCGGCTCAACCGAGTCAGCGTATCCGTGACCACCGCCATATCCACCATGACCATACCCACCATGGTAGCCTCCGCCATAGCCACCGTTGCCATAGCCACCGCCATAACCACCGTTGCCATAGCCACCGCCATAACCACCGTGTCCATATCCATATCCTTCCGGCTCAACTGCGTCTGCGTGACCACGACCACCGCCGTAGCCACCACCACGACCACCGCCGTAGCCACCACCATGACCGCCACCGTAGCCACCACGGTATCCTTCCAGCTCCGCCGAGTGACCATGCCCACCGCCGTAGCCACCGCGACCACCATAGCCACCACCACCGCCGTAGCCACCGTGACCACCACCATACCCCTGTGGGTCTAGCGATTCATTCTCCTCCTTCTCTGGGACAACTCTAGCAGAGAATGCGAGCTGGGAGGCACAAAGCAATGCAGCGAGAACTAGAGCGACGCTCTTCATTGTTGCTACTCAAAGCTTGTTTTGTGTGAGACTGGCGTGGAGGGCTGGGGGTTTATATAGAGTCTCAGGGATTGACACTTCAACGTTAAATTTTCAGTGGAGGGAGAATCATTCGAAAATGGCGGGACCGAATATGCCACATCAAAATACAACAAGATCACGGCATTGGAAAAACAAACATTTCACAAAGTCCTTATGATTATCAAACTATAAGAACTCTTATAATTGTTTTTAGAACCATCAGTGGCCATTGCAAATCGCTCCCTTGCTTATGGCACCTTGGTTCTTTATGCAAAAGACCAACCCTTTTTTATCAGTCTTTGTTTCGTTCGTTTTTTTTTTTTTCCTTCTTTCTCGTTATGGAACTTGAGCTCTTACCGCAAACTCAAGAGCGTTGATGTGAGTAACGTGGCTCCCAACGCTCTCCACATTGAATGCCACTCCTTTGAGCGGCACTGCGTGGAGCTGCTGCTGGTAGTGCATCTTCAGTTGATGGTTTGGCTTCAAGCTACTCGGCTGGTTTACTTGGAGAACGGGCCTCTGGAGAGCCTGCAAATCGTTCAATATCTTCTCGAACGATGGTCTCTGGCTGGGATCACTGCCCAAGAAAGAAGTTATAGAGTAGCATGAATCAAGCAATGAAAGCTTACTTCTGCCAGCACTCTTGGATGATGCTCGCGATGCTCGGGTCCACATCTGGTGGAATGGGGAGACGACGGTGCTGGAAACCCACGGCCCCGACCACTTGCATGGGGTTCATCCCGTGCCAAGGCTTTTGCGACGTCGCTAGCTCCCACAGTATCACGCCGAAGCTGAAGACGTCCGATCTGTTCCAAAACAATATGTGGAGTGAGAACACCCGGCAAGACCAACATTACTTTTCGTTAGATGGTTCGTTGCGCAGAACCTCCGGTGCCATCCACTCGGGCTGTAAAATCGAACACGGGAGATTGTTATATAATTTGCTATAGAAATAACTGCTACTCGTTACCGTTCCAGCGGTTGATTTAGATGACAAAAATGTGCTGTGCTTGATGCGAGACAGTCCAAAATCGCAAACCTGTCATAGCTCACCAGTAAAGACAAATAAATGGAGCTTTTTTCTAGTTACCTTGACCACCCAGTTCCTATCTACCAAAAGATTTGGAGACTTCAAATCACGGTGAACTATGACGGGTTTGCAGCTATGTAAATAATTCATTCCCTCCGCCTGGACACCCAGAAAGCTCAATAGTGGATAGAGTTCGAATGGAAAACTTACCACATCCAGAGCCATTTGTAGACGCCTTCTTCTGTCAAGTTGATTGTGCGGTCGATGAAGCAGCTTAAATAAACTCCCTCTGCATGCAGACCATTTTATAAGACGAAGCAGCTTGTTGCAATTCCTACCTGGGAAGGTATTCTGTCACGATGGCAAGGTTTGGGGGATGGGCTACGGCTCCCATGAAGAGAACAACATTGGGGTGCTTGAGTCCCCTCATTATTTGCACCTGTAAAATCATTAAGATCACTCACGACTCCACAAATCGCATGATCACTTACTTCACTTCTGAACTCCATCATCGCATCTCCCGAAAAATCCTGGTCAAGGAACTTTTTCACAGCGACTTCCTGGGAATAAGGGTACAAGATCAGTACGACTTATATAAGTCTTTTCAATACCAACAGAACTTACTGTGCCGGACCACTCCCCGTGATACACTTCGCCATAAGATCCTGAAGTACACGAACATAAAAAACTTTGGAAAACAAAAAACTAGCTCAGAAACATACCAATACCAACACGCTCCCCGATATTGATGTCCTCCCAGTTTATTTCCCATTCGGCTGCATCTTCCAAAAGCACCTGGCTGTAGACCCGCTTTCTCGGAGAATCATACCCATTCCTCGAAGTAGCAGGACTAGATTTTTGAATACGGTTGTTGTCAAGCGAAGATTTACACGCTCCTGTGTCTGTACAGCTGAGAACCTCAGTAACAACTATTGCAGTTGCTAAGCCGGAATTTACAGTCCCGTCGTCCTCAATAGTCCCCGTTGCCACCACGGCGACAATCTTACTTTCGGCTACGTTTTCTTGTTCCATTCCTCCTCCTGCATGGCCACTTTGGGACTGGGACGCATCGGTACATAATGTTAGTCGAGGAAAAGGCTCCTTCGAGCGGCCACCAGGCTCTTGTCTTTTCGATTCCACGACCAACTTTTCTTCTTTTTTGTTAGCTGTTGTTGCCTTTAGTGAACCACTATATGATGTAATTGTTGCATCTAGTGGAATAAGAGTGCCCGGCGCCCCCATCAGATCAATGATGAACTCCCTGTAAGCAGTTTTCAGGATTTACAAACAGGAAGATTTTCCAAAACCAACCTGCCGTCGTCAGCCTTTAAGATGTTCAAGACACCATCTTCGACCCCAGTATAGTGGTTTCCCTTGACCAAACGACATGGAAGATTCACACAATCCGCCAAAACCTGTAGAAAAGTCATGTATAACAAAACACGAACCGAAATCTTTTCGTCACCTTGAAAAGCAGAGCTCGATGCCGTGCGAGACCAACGCCGAGCATTCCCAACGGCCAGACAACGTTCTGCAAAGCGCTCCGCAACTCCCAGCCCCTGGTTTTCCAGGCCGTAAGAATGTCAATGTCGCTAACCACGACCCCACCCAAGGCCTCCACAACCAGCTCTGCAATCCTGTTTGCCAAGCCATTCCTGATGGGGTTTCTGTCCATAAGGCTGCAGTCCGAGGATATACACATTGCTCTCTGCTCCAGCTTCCCAAGCTCAAGGTCAATGACTCTGTTGACAAGGATCACTTCGAAGTTCACCGATTCCGAAACTTCCGTCTCCTGCAGCTCTTCGAGCGAGGGGATCTTTTCGAAGCAGAGTGGACTAAAGAGGCCGTATATGTCATAAAAGCCGTCTACGACCTTGTCATCATAGTTAAGCACGTTGTAAGCCTGGAAAAGAAAAGATAGAAGGAAAAAAAAATCAACCAAACCACATGCTTCGTCAACTTTACGAGTTCTTACCCAGTATCTTCCAGTTAGAACCTCAGCCTGTCGATTATCCGGTGAAGGGCTCAATCCCAGACTTATTCGCTTGGCAGCTTCGATCTCCACGATCTCTGGATCCATACTATCACTCTTGGAAGCACTGAGAGCCAGCGCTAACTGGACTTGATACTCCTCCTCCTCCACTTGGAGCTCATCTATTGTGAGCATGCTACTGGCAGCACCCAAATCCACCGGCGCTCGAGCAGCTCCTTCGCCTGTTTCACCTGGATTCCCATTCCCTGCCGGCGTCGGAGGCCTCGAATTCCTCCGGAGCCACCCCGAGAACCCCGAATGCTGCCTCTGCTGCTCAAACGGCGACGGCGACGTCGACGACGAGGAAGAGGTGGAAGCCGTGGCGGCGGTGGGAGTGGTGTCCGGAGACGTGCGCTCCTCGTCCAGGCGATCGTAGTGATCGTTCCCAATGTGGAGCTTCCGGAGGAGGTTTTTCATGGCCGCTGCTGCTGCAATTCAAACCCTAGAAACCCTCACAGCGCCCGCGCACCTGCGATTCCCCAGCGAAATGGATCAAAATCGAGCGCGCTCTCTCGCGAATCGGCGCGCCGCGTACCTGGAGATCCCAGATCCAGCGCCAAGACCAGCGGCATCGCATCCAGGCGCTCGCAAACCCTCACCCGCGAGTTCTAGGGTTCCATGCCGTTGCCCCTTCGCTTTCTGGCTTGCTCCAGGAAGGAGCTGGGGGCCGTACGCGAAAATGCGCAAATCCAATATGGCCCTGTACGGGGCTGCTGACTATTGTTGACTGGAAAGAGCTTTTTGGAAAAATTTTAGTCGCGAGTACACGTGGCGGCGGGTAAGAAAAAAATGAGCGCCAAAATGTTTTAACACTGGGAGGTAATATTTTTGAGTTGCGAAAGAAGAGGGGGGAAGAGCTTTCCATCGTTTCTTTCTTTCTTTCTTCCAAGAAACGCTCCACAGTCTCCAAGAATCCATCTTTCTCTCCAGGCGATGACTCGATTCGCGGCGCCCACTCCATCGCCATCGCCATCGCACAAGAAATCGTCAAGATCGTGCGCTGCCGCCGAGAATTCTCCAGCGGCGGGAAAATCTTCGCCCAGGAGGCGAGGGGGAAGAATGCCGCTCGAGATCTTGGATCACCAGGGCGGCGATCGGTTCGTTAGCGGCCTGGATTTCGATTTCGAGGGCCGGTTTGCCGCCGCGCAGACGAGGGAATCTTTCCACTCGCGGCGCATGTCCTTGGCGCCGCAGCAGCAGGAGAAAGATCCATCGATCGAGCGGCGCCGGCAGAGAAGGATGTCTCTCCAGGCCGGATCGATCCACAGGCTTGACAAGAACGGCGCAAAGAAGGCGTCCAAGATCCATCCTAGCGGCGCCATCGCCAAGAACAAGGGTTCCTCGCCTCCTCCAGTCCTCGTCGACCAGCTCTACATCGAGAAATCCGCTAGCGTTCTCTGGAGGGATGGCTTGCTCCAGCAGTGGGATAATCTCCTCGACAACACCTCTGGAGGATTCAAGAGCATCACCGTCGCCTACGAGGAGCACCGGAAGAGCCTGGAGCCAGATCCAAAGCAAGGCGACGATCAAGCACAGATTTCGTCGCCGTGTTCTTGCGAGGGCGAGACCTCCAGCAGCAAGGACATCCACATGGTGGAAATCTCGTCCGAGGAGTCCGATGTGCCGCGCCTGGACGAGATTTCTCCATTTCCAGAGAAAGAGCTCGAGCTGGATGATCAAGAACTCAAGCGCAAGGGCGAGGAGCGCACCGGATGGACGAGCTATGCATTCACGGCGGCAGCAGCGCTCGTAGCGGCCGGCATTGCGATCTTGGGATGCGTCATCCATGGCAAGGTTCGTGCTTGTGTTTCCTCTAGCTAGGCGGCAGTGCTTTCTCTCGATCTCCTCGCTACGTTTCTACCAATCCCACTGTGAAATATCCTTCCCGGATCTCTTGCCGTGCTTGCCAGCAGCACATAGACAGCGCCATTCTTTGGATCAAGCTCAAGAACACGCCGCGCGGCGTAAGAGCTAGCTTCCAGATCGTCGTGATCGCGGCAAGCTCCAAGAACACACACCCAATTCACCGCTTGCGCCTCGAATGGCATCGTTTCCGCGAGCTCCCTCGCGGATTCCAGGCGCCCAGCGCGCCCGAGAGCATCGATCATGCATGAGAAATGCTGGTGCGTCGGCGATCGATCGAAATCCAAGCTCATCGACACGAACAGGCACCGCGCGTCATACAGTCGGCTCCCAAGAATCGCCGGGACGAAGGAGACCTCGTCGGGGAAATCGACGGTCTTCATCGAATGGAAGAGCTGGAGGGCCTCATCGAGCCGTCCGTTTTGGCAGTAGCCAGCCAATAGCGCATTCCACGACATGGTACCACGCTCGGGGGAGGTATCCAAAAGATTCTTAGCATCAGCAAGATGCCCGGCTTGGGCATATGCCACAATCATCGCATTCCAGGACACAAGATTCCGGCATTGCATCTTATGGAATATCCACTCGGCCAGGTCGAGATGCCCGGCTCGAGCATATTCTCCCAGCAACGCTGTCCATGACACAACGTCTAGGAGGGCTGGGTTTTGGAGAATGTTCTCCATCGCTGCATGGAGATTCCCGCTGTGGGAATATGCTGGGAGCATTGCAGTCCATGAGATGGAATCGTGCTCTGGCATGCTGTGAAAGATTCTCTCGGATTCTTCAAAGAGGTAGCTGTTTGTATAGGTGGCGAGCAAGCAAGAGTAGGAGACTCTGTCTTTACAGGGAATCTTCTGGAAAAGATCTGTAGCATCTTTTACAAGACCAGACTGAGCATATGCCGCAAGGAGTGAATTCCAGCAGACTAGATCCCAACAGGGCATCTTGAGGAGGAGACTCTTGGCTTCATCAAGATGCCCAGACTGGCAATATGCCTTTATCATTAAAGTCACCGAGAGAATATCCCTGGCAGGCATCTTTTCAAACAACTCCCGGGCTTTTCTGAGTTTTTTCGCTTGTATGTATGATTCGAAAAGAGTTGTCCACGATACCAAGCTCCATTCGGGCATTTGGAAGAAGATTCTCTCGGTATTAGAGAGATCCCCAGTTCCGGCATATACTGATAGCATCAAGTTCCAAGTGATGATATTTCTCTCCGGCATTTGAAAGACGAGCATTTGAGCTTCGCTAAAAAGCTCTAAAACGCAGTAGCACTTAAGAAACGCGTTCCAAGTTACTAGATTATGCTCGGGCATTGATAGAAAGATACGCCTTGATTCCTCTAGATGCCCTGCTTGGGCATATGCAGTAAGCATGGATGTCCAAAGAACAAGATCTCTTTGCGGGATTTCGTCCAGAATTTTCTTAGCCTGTGCGAGAGATCCACTCTTCACGTACGCGACGAGCATAGTCGTCCACAGTATGAGATTCTTCCCTTGGATTTGATCAAAGAGCTGCTGGGCGCTGTTGATCTTGCCGCTCTTGCAGTAGCCGGAGAGAAGGTGGTAGTAGGAAAAAGAGGATGGGTTTTCCATGGAGTCGAGAACCTCCCTCGCGCGCTCGAGGCTCCCCAGCGTCGCGTACATCTCGATGAGCTTGTCGTGGAGGAATGCATCGTGTCCGAGCAGCGGTTTGATGCGCTGGTGGATTCGCAGCGCGGTGGCGATGGTGGAGCAGTCCTGGATTTGCTGGATGCAAAAGCTTCTCTCCATTGAAGACCTTTGGTAGCATTTGCGTAAGAGAGAAGAGAGAATCTTTCGAAACGTATTGTGCGCGAAACTTAGTCGCCCAAAACGGTAAAAAAGAAAAATGCCACCTTGGTTTCTGGATCGAGCAACCAACCAGATCAAGATAAGACGCCGCGCGAACACCGCCCAGGCTCTCTCGCGAATTACTGCGCTGCAATCACCTATCCATGCCTTTAAATGCATGCACAGATTTCCTGGGTTCTGGGAGCGCGGCGGTCTCGCTTCCATCGAGGAGAAATGGGAGCACCGAACGAATCCCCGAAAGGCCAAGCCAAGCCAAGAAAAAAAAAAAGAGAGAAAGAAACGAGGAGAGAGGAGAGGAGAGGATCAAAGTTCTTCAAAGAATCAAATCGTGCTCGTTGTAATGGAGCTTTCATGTTTAGAGCTTTGATAATAGAGTTACAGACAACACCAAAGACATGGAGGAATCAAACTGTACAAAGGGGAAGAACAGTAGCCACCGCCGCTGGGCTTTGGAGGCTGTGTTTCTTCGCGGATCGATCTTTCTCCATCAGGGATTGAAATCGTAGATGTAGTCGACGTGGTCCTGCTGCTGATGATCCGGATGATCACGCGGCGACGCGGTGAGCTTCTATGGAAGAAATCAAGCGTTAAAAACAAGTAAATCACTCCACCCCAAGTGAATCTCACCTCAGTTTTTCCACCGGCCACAGCACTCGCGGACGCTACCGCGTTGACACTCTTGTCATTCACCACTGAAACAAAACAAAAGAGATCTCTACATGAGCGATTTGCAAGACAAAGTAGCCATGAAACAACGAGCGTTCATGCAAAGCCATGCACTTCTTTCTCCATAGCTAAAAACTCATCTCAAAGCTTACACACGCGAAGAAACAGATAGTGTATGGAGCTAGAGCTAGAGCTTGCCTGTGGAGTCCTTGACAGGCCTGGCAGCCATAGCAGCGGCCACGAACAGCACAAAGAAGAAGAAAACGAGGCGAGACATGATACAATCGATCAAAAGCTTGCGAAATCTTTGCAGAGACTCGGAGAAACTCTTTGGAGCTGCGCTAGAGATCTAGAGCAATGAAACAAGTTTGCCGAGAAAGAAAAAGAGCTTCCAAAGACTAGCTTTCGAGCGAGCAAAGAGGCGAAAAGAGAGATGGAGGACGAAAGACGACGGCGGCGCCGGTGTATATATACGGCTCCAACAAAGAGACACGGCGTGGACGGATAGGATGCGATCAAGGAAGACAAGGCCTGCAAGTGCGACACGTGGACAGCATTGACCAGACAGAATGCTGACTAGGAAGAAGCCACAAATCCAAACTAGATAAAATAGAAACCATGGAAGAACTCTCTCCATTAATTTTGCGTTGTTTCCAAAGAGAGAGCATGTCCCCCGAAATCTTTTATTTCATTTCATCCAATCTTGGAAGTTTCAACTATAGAGACTGTGATCCTCTCAAGAATGCTTGATATACACAGTGAGTTCTCCCAGAGATATCCAATCTATAAACTATCTCTACGCAAAGATTTACGTTACGCTGCTATGGTACCTTCGGTCTCCTGTGGCATGCCTTTGATGGTTCTTCGCTTCCATATCGCCGACTTTGGATCGAACGCCAATTCCCATGTTGGCCAGTAGTGCAAATCCTGCTTGAGCGTCAAAACCCGTGGCTTGCCGTTCAAATGGACCACTTTGACGCGCACAAAGTCTCCATGGTTGAGTTCCTACAAAAAGAAAACAATATCAAGATCGCTACTATCGCACTAAACCCAAATGCCAAACCTTGACAACTTCGATAAACGTTTGCAAGTCCGGTGTCTTGTTCCCATTCACTTCCACGATCCATTGAAGAGCATAAAGGCCATATCTGTGAGCGGGACTTCCATGGCACCACCTGACAATCACGAATATCAACCAAATGAGGCACTGCTAAAAATGAAAGAGTTTTGCCAAGTTACCTGGCAACGTAAACTCCATGGCCCTCTTCCGGGAGAAAGCCCAGTGCTCTTACAGCCGGATGAGGATCTTGGACGACGCAGCCTGCCCAGTTCACCATTTGCATCGTGCCAAAACCATCGCGGACGTCCGTTCCAATCACAATCTCTACTTCGACACCCTGATGGTAGCGAGAGATTTAAGACAAAAGTAGCAGAGGTTTTGCGTTACCTGTCGAAAGACGGTCATGTGTAGTTCGTCAGTTTCGCCCTCTTCAGCACGTTGGCAGGCTTGCTCAACGTCTTGAAAGCAAGTTATAGGCATGTTGTTGATTGCCAGTAACATATCGCTTTGCTCGAGTGCAGACTCCGCCTTAGAGCCCGCTAAACAGCCTTTGACCCGCAACACTTGACGTCTTATTGGATCTTTTTTAGCTAGAGCCTGCAATTCTTGTGTCAGTAAACACAAAACTGAAAAGAAGTGTTCGCTTACCTGAACCCATTTATCGCTAAGACCAAAGCTCCTTGCTTTTGACAACAAGGTCGGATAGAGCTCAACTTCCAGAACGCGAACCAGGGGCATACGTCTCTCAATACCGTTGATATGTAAAGGTGGTCCTCGGTGTCCATCGACAATCCCGTCGCGTATTTCACTGATGTACGATATTGGAATGCCTCGAACGAACTGGTGATCTTCCGGAGAGCTGTCGCCGTATTTAACCTGCTTATTGATGGATTATAAACATGAGCCATAAACCCTTTGTTCTTACTTGAGTTGAGAAGCTAGCCCAAAGAGCTTGTACTCTCCCTTCGTCGTCGGCAAGAACTCCCGAAAACGTATGGCCAAAATCTGAGGGATCAAACTTAACGTGAGAAGATTGTGAAGACTACAACATACCAGTATCAATCTCAACAACTTCCATGTTCATTGCTCGATATCGTGGACAATCTGCTGCCCCCACATTCAGCGAAGCGGCAGGGTTGGTCACTACTGACTTGCGTGACGTAGCCTGCATGCTCCTGCTCAGACCAACTAGGTGAACGGCATCACCTCTTTTCAGTGGTTCTGCAGATAAACGTGTCTAAGATGCTTAGGTAACGGCAAAAGAAAGCTACAAACCCGGGTGTAAGACAGCAGCTCGGACGGCGGCTGCTCCAGCTTCTCCTAGAGCCGACGGATTATAAGCAACAACCGCAAAGTCGTGTATTGGATGTAAAAACACCACCTAAGTAGCGGAGTCAGCAGATTGAAAGCTATTTCAAGATTACCTCAGCAGGAATCTCGATTGGAATTGCGGCAAAAGAAAGCATTATATCGGCAACTGAAATTGCGACAGTGTTTCTGTCCACGGCTATAAGGCCCAAGTCGGAGGAGTGATGTATAATGATCCCTGTACCAAAGAAGTGCTGGGCATGCACGCCATCGAGTAGTGAAGACGGTGGAATATGAACCTGCATCACTAAAAGCGTCTCAACAACGCCAAAACGAAAATCCGCTTTCTTACCTCCATCATAACGAGAGTCGGCTCTAAAACCTGCTCAACACCTGAAGCACCACCTGTTACTTCTGGAGTTTGAGAATCAACAACTTCCGCAAGAATGTCAGGCTGATTATCTTCCGGAACAGCTAGAAGCTCGTTCACTCGTCTTCTCTTAGTTTCTCCTTGGTTCAAAGACCCGTCGCTCAGCTGGTTGCCTTCGTCACTTTGGAAGCCATCTTCGGCGCTCATTGAAACCGCAACTCCTCCTCTACATTCGATAGCAGAACCGTCTTGTAAAGCACCTGACATCTTGCATGGTCCCTGCTTCTCGTCACTATGAAAAGTTGAAACAGGTTTACTGGATATGGCCGGACGAGGATTCCAAAGTCCGGTAGAATCATCACGAACATAGATTTGCGGAGGTGCATACCATTCGTGCCTTTCAATGGTCACCAGCACAGACTAGAGAAAACAAAATCCTTTAAGACGAGCAGGACGTCAAATATATGTAAAAGGCTCACCTTGCCTCTATGCCGATCGCTGTACACATAGAATTCTAGTGGGACACGCGCACCAGGGGCAAGCTTACCAAAACCGACAATAAGATCTTCCAAGGTTGAAATGCTTTCTCCAGCAAGCTTTTTGATTATCCCAAACTTTGGAACCCCTGCTCGCGACAGCATGTACCTTCAAGAGAAAAAAGCTTAGCGATACAACTCTCACGTAATCGTGCTTACCCCGGATCTGCGACATATACAAGTCCACAGTTAAAGCGAAAATTCCGAGCCTGTAAGTCCACGTGCATTATTGGCACAACAGTTCAACAAGCCAACGAACCTGTTGATAAGACAGAGGATGGATAATGGCTCCACTCATTTCTAAAAAGTAATTAGGCGTGATTGAATGTAAGTCTTGCACCTGCTTCCAACTTCAGCATTTGACAGTTAAAGGAATATTTACACATACCTTCAACGTGACTTGAACATCTTTTCCACCTCTCTCGAGTTCGAGCTCCACGTCTTTGTCAACGTTGTCGTCAAGGAGTATTTCAAGTTTTAAAAACTGTGTTACTACCTGTCCCATTCTAAGTGTTAGCGAGTTTTCATTACTTCACAAAACCCTTACTTCTTTGTTCACGCGAACAAGCACATCTCCAGGCTCCAGGTGCTTATGAGAAGGACCACCCGGCACCTGATTTCAAAAACGTCGGACGATATACTTACATGGTATGTTTAAGAACTTACCACAGAATCTACGACGAGCATGCCGGTTTCACTCGGAGGAGAAGCAGATCGAACAGTCTAAGGTGAAGCGAACTTGTTAATCAAGATCAAACAAAGAAGAAAAACTTACTTGCTCAGTGTCATGCCGCAAGCCCAGACGTCTGGTTTCATCAAATCCTTTGTGCAGCAATGTCATCTTAAGAGAAAAACACATAGTTAATTATGTGACCTTTTCTCAATGAAGTCATTCACCTGCAAAGTCCCCCGAGGTATATCCACTGGTTGCCACCCATCACCAAATCCATCTTTGCTTTCCTGAAGAACACGGAGTGCTCTTACCACCTGACAGAATGTAGACAGTAAGACTTAACCAGGAAACAGAAACTCGTTTAGTCTTACACGATCCAGAGGAAGAAAATACGCCGAAGCCCCTGCTACTTTGCTACCAGCATTTATAGCGACGGCCCTTCCTTTGCAATCTACAACAGGAGATCCACTAGATCCTCCTTTAGTTCCTGACGCTGCCTGGCAAAATTCACGTTATAAAAACCTCAGTCAGTTGATTGTCGATCACCAATTACCTGCATATAGAATGTGTTGAAATCGTTGTATCCATCCCTTTAGAACATAGAATTATGAACAACAAAGTTCTCAGACTGAAGATTCTTACTTTTTATACGGTGGAGCATCTCGATCAAGCCTGGCAATGGTACCCGCAAGTATGGAGAGCTGAAAGAAAGAAAATGCCAGTTAGTACCAAGCTAAGGTTTCTAGTATTTGTTTTGTTTTCGCGAAAGTACCTTTTCTCCGCTATCATTCCCCACAACACGAATTTCTAGACCCACAGCCGCGGCCTCTGGAGCGAGAGGAATCTCCTCGTAGTTCATAAACTCGACGCTCTTTGGATCGAATCGAAAGAACCCAAAGTCGTGTACCTGGATCCAATCCAAAAACAACGTAAACCACGCTTTCCAAAAGAGAGGAACCAACTTACAGGATCGCGATACAAAGGATACACCGGAATTTCTTCCCTGTTGAGAAAGATCGCCTCCGCAACCACGGGACCTATAGCCGGAATCCCTCAAACAAGCTCCCTACATTGAAAATTGGAGATTACCAGGCTTCACGACATGGCGATTGGTGAGAATTATGCTCCGGGCCTTGTCCACCACGAATCCCGTCGCATAGCCGGAGCTCGCAGTCTCCGTATCGAATGCCCTGCAAGCGGTCGTCCTGAGCACCACGACGCCGCGGACGACGCGAGCGAGCGATTTCTGCCAATCCTCGGCAGTGGCTCCGCTGCTGCCAGCGCCTTCCAGAGGCAAGCCATCGAGCTCCATGCCACCAGAGAGGAGAAAAGGCGCCGCGATCAAGCGCCAGGGATCACCACATTCGCCACAAACCCTAAGACGCCGAGCTTTGCCAAAATCTCGCGAGGAGAAGCCAACACCATAGCCACGTTAAATTATTAACCTATATGAATCTGAGCCGTCGGATCGAGTCTATGTTCGATCGAAAACTTCCGTAGCATATGCCATTCGTACAAATGAATTTAAAATTGATTAAGTACGTAATGGATACATAACTGTTTATCATTGTGTAGGTACTTACACCTAAGATATATTTGAATATTTTAGGATATTTTACTATCTAATTGTTGTTATTCATTTAAATTAATTTTGTATTTATGATTTTAAAAATTCTTATAATTTCTAAACTTTCCTAAACACTTCTAAGTATATTCTAGCTTAATATTACTTTCTAGACTAATACTAATCTTGTATAAACATCTTTATAATTATTGATCAGCTTGGTCATAGTTTTATTTTCGTTCAACCCTCCATTCCGGGCATATAACTGAAGGTACCAGGTGGGCTGTTTAATGTGCTCGATCTTTCGGCCTTCTAGTTGACACCTCTCGTCAACTCTCTTCTTTCATGGGCGCTCCATTCAGATGATGCTTTGCCCCTGGAGAGGAGCAAAGGATTGCAAGGAGATGCTTGATCGAGTCACCCGGGGAGTCGTCGTTCTCAATTGCAGTGCTTGCAGGGCATTTGATAAGCCGGATATCCACACTGCAACGGCATTTGGTGGACAATAATTCGCACCAATCGCCATGTCGTTAAAGGTTGTTAGATCTGCTTCTCCTCTGACTGAAACAGGCATGCTAGTCGTAGAAGCTCTATAACATTGTATATAACATATGAAATACCAATGTTGTACAAGGCCAGGTGCCAGGTGGTCTTTCGCATACGCATCTAGAACCAGGAGATGTGCTTGTTCGAGTGAACAAACAAGTAAGGGTCGTGCTGAAATCATAGAAATTTAGCCAGTTTTTTGTGAACGCAAACACATTTCTTACAAGTTGAGATATATCCCGACGACAAAGTTGAAAGATATGGAGCTCGAGTTAGAGAGAAGTGGAAAACATGTCCATTTCACATTTTTATATACACTACGTATAAAAAATATTAAAGCTGGAAAGATGGAAACAGGTGCAAGACTTGCACTCAATCACGCCTAATCACTTCGTGGAAATAAGCGGAGCCATTATTCATCCTCTGTCTTATCCCTGTAATATAAACTACATCGTTGTGGAGAAACAGGCTTGGTTTTCACTTCAAGTGCAGGCTTGTTTATGTTGTGGAACATAGTTACATTATTAGTACCATCAATTAATACTTATCGTTTATTTTGGAAGCTACATGCTATCGCGAGCAGGAGTTCCAAGGTTTGGCATAATAAAAAAGCTGGCCGGAGAGCGGAAGACCTTATTCGACACAGATCCCATACACAGCAGATGCTTCCGAAGGTGTAATTTTTTTCTCTTGACCAGTCCGTGCTGGTAACAATTGAAAGGCACGAAGGGTATGCACCCCCTCAAATCTATACTCGTGACACTTCTACCAGCCTCTGGAATCCTCGTCCAGCGCTACCTCAGAAACCTGAAATTTCAAGCTTGCATGCTGAATCGGGAGCTGCGAGTAAAGTAGCTGGTCCTGCTGTTTCAATGGGTGGCAATGCAACTGTTCTTCTAGAACTAAGCTAGACGTCTAAAGCAGTTCGGTTATATGAAAGGTGAATATATTTGCTGGTTTAGGTGGGTAAGATTCAGTAGTAAGGCATCTCCACTGGAGTTGTGGCGAAGTAGAGAATTATATCAGCAACTGCAATCCTGACGGTGTTTCTGTCCACGGCTACGAGGTCCAAGTCCGAGGACCTCGTGATGTATAACGATCCCCGTACCAACAAAGTGATGGTCATGCTCGCCATCAACTCGTGCAGACTGCGCAATATTCACTCAGTCATTCATATTCTGTTTACATGGTCTCGCGGCGCCCCAGACCGAATATGAACCTGCAATGTTTACGGAAAAGCTATATTTGTGGAAAATGAAGGTGAGTTTCCTTACGTAGTCCCAGGTTTGTATTCTGTGGAGTAGTCCACAGAAGCATTAAATAGAGGCGATGAGGTTCATCTTGTTGGCCTGAGCAGGAGCATGTGGACCATATCTCGTAAGTCAATCGTAATCAACCCTGCTGCTTTGCTACCGATGAGCATGGAGGTTATTGAGATTGACAATGGTATAACCCCTGTCTCATTGATTTACGATTTTCCTTATATGCTGAAATTCTATGAGACCTTGATAAAATTTCGGGAGTTCTTGCCGATGGTAAAGGGAGTGGTAAAGCTCTCTGGGCCACATTCTTCACTCAAGTAAGTACATTTATTATAAAACAGCGTTTCAAGTAATCTCTGTGGTTTGAACCATGTAAAGTACTGGGACTTCCAAGAACAAGAGTTTGCGAAAGGAATACCAATTTCATACATTTGTGAGATATGAGATGGAATTGTCGGAGGACACAAGGGAATTGAAAGACATCTGCCTTCCGTTCGCATTCTCGAAGCTGAGCCTTTACCCGACTTTGTTGTCCGAGGCAAGGAATTTTGGTTTGAGTGACAAATGTCTTCATATACTTTTGCTCTTGTATTTCCATCTCCCTAATGACGTGCTAATCGCAGGCTCTTGCTGAAAAGAATCCATTAAGACGCCAAGTCTTGCAAATGAGGCGCTGTTTTGCAGACTCCAAGTCGTCCAAGTCTGCACTGGCGCAAAATGATAATCAACAAAGTGCCTATAACTTGCTTTCAAGATATTGAGCAGGCCTGCCAACTTGCTGAACAAAACGAGAGTCATTATCTGGCTATGAGATCATCAGGGTGGCGAACAAAAGATAGTCACTAAGAGGGACTCCCGTGATCGTTTTGGGACGGCGGTTGAGGATGTTTTCCACGTCCTATATAACTGTGGGGCATATGACCACCTCCGCCAGCGTCTTCCAACCATTCCCTGGCGAGATAGGGCCTCTCCAACATTGACACTGAACTTGCGAGGTATCTCTTGCGAGACTAGAGGACCACTCTTGGAAGCTACAGCAGTACCAGTTCAAGGAGTGCTAAAGAGCGAATGGGTAGGCAGGCAAGTACAATGTCCTCCACCTCAGTGGTCTCATGCCTCCAGCTGGGCGCTGCAAGACCCTCCAAAAATAATCCAAAGTTTTTGTCCAGCCATAAGAGCATTGGGGTTTGAATGAACAAGTGTCATAGCACCTGATCAAAAGCTTTGACAAAATCGACATAGCCAATGTGTCTGAACTGTAACCACTATAATAACACTTAGAGAGTGAGAAGTTGGTCTACACAAGAATAATGGTGGCAAAAGACTGTTTAGCCATTTGCATTAAGATGGTGACTTTTTACCCAATTCGAGAGCCATTTTTTTTGCAAAAATACTGGCTAGGGTCTGATAATTTGCCACATTAGTCAAATCACCAACTTATACATCCACAAATAGTGTTTTCAAAGAATATGCTCTTAAAAGGTTGAGAGGCTTTATGATTTAGCTTTGGAAACCCTGGCCAAGGTGGTTTTGTAGATGAATATTTTACAGTGTAACCTAATTGACATTGCGCATGGTAGCTTCAGCTGAAAAGCTTTGCAGTCCAATGTATCCAAGAATCAGATAAACCCAGAAGCTTGAGTTCTTTAAGCGGGTCCTTCAATGATTGCCAGCCACTTATATGGCCGCAGCTTCTAAAACCAAGCGACCTCCAAGTGGCAGCTGTAATTGTACCATGGCTCTAAATGTTTTATAATCCAAAAGAAACGAGTGTGGATGAGGGGATATGCTAAAAAAAGATGTCCCGCTAAATTAGAGTTTTGTATTACAAGCAAAACAAGTGGTGGTAAATGCATATTTCCTTTCTTTTCTTTGAAGGATTTCAATTTAAAGTTTATATTAAAGATAAGAAAAAATAACATTAAAACACTATATAGATTAAGGTACAATCTAGCATAAACCTGGATACTTATAGTATATGTCTAAACCAAAAGGACTGATAAAAATTTAAAATAACTTTCGCGCCATTAGCTAAGAGAGGATTTACCAAAAGAACTAGAACCAAAATCACTACTACAAACACCACCCACATTTGCAAATCTTTTTTTGGAGTTATTTCCCCGACTCCATACCTGAAAGAAAGAAAAATTTAGAAAGAAAAACACGACGCACCATGGAAACTCCGAGCTCTTGTCTAATCGTCTTTCGGATAGATCAAAGTAGAACTAGTAGCTGCTGGAAACATTTCAAAACCACCTGGTAAGCTAAACGAGCCAATGGAAAACTGACAGCTTACCAGGAATCGATAGATACTCCACAAACTTCCATTCCATCTTTCGGTCACGAGATCACGGCAACGTCCGCTGGTGTCAGCATCTCCTTCCCGACGAGCTTCCCGGATGCTGTCCTAGTTTTGAAGCTCCCACTGCCTTTGCCACGCGCCTCCCTCCTGGAGTTCTTGGATCCCGGCTTCTCAATCGCAGCCTTGGACTTCGGTGCCTCACCATCGCTCTTCTCCTGTGCCGCCGCGGTAGCAGGCTCCACTACACTATCTAAAGTCGCATTAACAACACTATCCTGGTGATCGGCGCCTGTAGGAGCGTCAGCTGTCTCCGGAGCGCTTTCCAGACCGAAGTCCTTTCCGGTATCACTATCTGCGTCCCCCCCGGATTCGGTCCCAGCTGATGCGTTCCTCTCTACCACCCCGTTTCCCTTGGTTTCCTCCAGCACCCCGATGCCTTCGACTGTCCCATTGCCGAGGACCTCGTTGGATGGCTTCTCCTTGCTCTTCACCTTCTCGCTAGAGATCTTCCCCGAGAACGACTTCCTGATCGCCTTCTTCGACGGGACCACGTTCTCCTTGACTTGTTGCCCGTTGTCTAGCTTCTTGGCGTCCTCGTTGTCGGTGTGCTTGCCGTTCTCGGACTCCGCACCGCTGATACTCTTTCGCCTGCCCAGCTTTGGAGATCTTGCGCGCGTCGTTGGGATCTGCATCCATTTCCAAAAATGTTGGTAAGCGCACCAACTATCAGCCATTCCAACCTTTCTCAGCTCAGCCTTAGGAGGAGGAGCCTCCTGGTAAAAGCTCGGCATTGGAGTTGCCTTGAAAGTGAGGCTCTTGCGAAGCTGTTTGATTTCAGCTTCCATCTCCTCCTAATGATCGATTGTTAGAACGCAGAAGGCAAAGAAAGGCTTTTTCACGCACCTGTGTTTTGGCTTGAATCTGACACTTCTCCGCTTCTTTGGCGTTTAGCTTTTCCTCCAGCTTTGAATAGAACTGCAAGCACAAAACTACATAAGGATTGGAAGACTTGTAACATCACGTACCTCTTTTCGCTTTTCTGCACGTTCATCACATTTGAAGCTGAAAGTGGAGGCAGCGGCATTTTTCCTGTCTTTTATACCAAATCCAGGCCTGCGGATTGATGCAAACACTCAACACAAAGCAGAAAGACATAAGGCTTACGATGTGCAAGATCCAACTTCGCTGTTTGCATCACTCACTTCCTCTTTCTGAGGGGGCCTGCAGCCATAAGTTCCCGTTAGAAAAGATAGGAAAAAACGTAACTAGAAAACTGTACTTTAAGGCTTCCACACTTAATGGTCTTACAGACGAAGGTTTTGTGGTCACCTTGCTAAGAACCTGCAACTTAAACTCAGTAAAGAAGAAACACGCAGCTTAATACCTGAGACTTTCGGATTGGCTGGGACGGTATTACGGGAGTTGGCTTAGCAGGTTGTTTAGCAGGAGCTTCAGTAGAAGTTGGCAACAGTCTGCTGCCACCGAGTGAAGCTCTTTTATCAGTTGCCAGAGCAAATGGTTGTGGAACTGTAACCGACGCCGTCGTTCGAGAGCTCTTTGGAGCTGGATCAGCAGCCGACTCCTTTCTAGCTTTTGAAGGAGCCACAGGATTGCTTTTGGGCCTTGCCGTCGTCGCATTAGCAGCAGCCACCGAAGTCTTAAAGCTCGACGAAGACTTCTTTGCCGGGGCTGTGCCCTTCGGATTCTTGGCATTTTCAGATCTTCTCTCCTGCAAATGCAAACAAAAAACCATCTGTTTCCTCCTCTGGCTCCAAAACAATAAACTATCAAGTGGGTCGTACCAACCTTCACAGGCTTCACATGGCAAGCGTTATCCTTTCCAAGGTTTGATTCCTCCGAAACCCCCATACCATCGTGAGTTCCATTACTGTTCTCCTGACCGCCCGAAACTTCGACTCCTGATCCCTGGAACTCCTCGTCACCATTCTCCTCCTCCAAGTCCATGTCGTCCACATTGCTGCTCCTTGGAGCGTCCACCACTTCCTTAGGTTCATCACCTGTGCCTGACCCCTCCATGACGCTGCCGGTTTTCCGATCACCCAAGTCTCGAACTCGCGATTGCCCTGATCATTCCCTGCAATCCACAAGAGCCACTGTTAAAGAGGAAAAGAACCGTGGAATCCCCGACTACACCCTCGATAACCCAAGAACCCCACCGCCGCTGGCAGACAATCGAAAAGCCCATCGCTTCAAGATCACGATGCAATGTAGCATGCACAACGCATCCGAATGCAAATTTCATGGAAGCCCCTTGACGCTCATGCAAGAAAAGAATGAAAGAATCTCGGCGGTATTGCCGCGGAGCGCCACATTGCCGAGCGCCAAGGACCACGACCCCAGGAAGGCACACACAGATCTCTCAAGGGCAAGCAAGGAGCCATGGATTCCATAGCTAGAACCGCAGCGAAATATCCTCGCCAGAGCTCACCTCTCCATCGCGGCGCCGATTCCCTCGCCACAATGCACCTCGATCCCTGCTGAAAAACCTGGGGGAGAGATCTCGTGACCGCCGGACAGCGCGCTCAACCGCTTGCCGTGCCGGCACCGAAGAACTGGCAGCGCGCACGGGAGATCGAGGAGGGAAGATCGATAGGCGCGAGAAGACGAGCGCGTGATTCTCCAGTGGCACAATCACTCCACAAAAACCCAGCCTGCCCCGTTTTCTAAACGGACCCCCACAGAATATCCACGAAACATTCCGTCCATCCCCAACGGGCCGCCGAATATTCTCCGCAGCCCTAATCCGGCGAATATCCCCCTGGCTGCGTCGTCGTTAGCTTGACGGTCGTCTTCGTGTCGGGTGGCCGGCGGGGCCGCCGCCGGCCTTGGCACATCCGCGCCAATTGTTGTGGGCCGCGACTGGCATTTGTCGGTGGCACACCATACGGTACGTTTGTGTGGACCAGTCGCACCGAGATTCCCCGCAAAGATACCGGTCGCTGACTGCCAGGTGTCGGTGGGGAGCTGTACTCCAAACAACATTCCCTTCCTCTTTGGGGGCGAGGCGAAGGCTTTAAAATTTTTTACAGGTAGATAGCAGCGCTTTGATGGGCATTTTAAATTCTTAAAGGCCATCACGTTTTGGGAAAATGCGATAGCTTAACCATTCCCGCCAAAAAGAAAAGGTATATGCATTCGAACGTGGAAAGATGATCTTGGCCACCACCTTGATATTATACACTTTAGATCTCAATCCCGCCAAACACGTTAAGGAATTTTAGAGCTTAATCTCAACCTTGTTAGACGCTTGATCATTCCAAAACAATCGCTATCGTCCAAAGTTTTTAGCTCACAAATAAATTGATCTCTCCTCCACCTTGATGGGTTCCATCTTCGCCACACGCTTTGCGCAGCACGAGATTGCAAATCGCTTGTGAGGACTGAAATGGACGCCTCGCCCGACTCGCAACATCATCCTAGGGTCTTCAAAGTCGTCCATGGAGAAGGAATTTGGATAGAAAACAAGGAAATAAAAACCATATACCAGAATAATTTAAGTTCCCGCTGCTTGGTTTCGCGAGACAAAATCGACTGCTTGATTGATGGATCCATCCATTGGCTGCCTTTTGCCTAGCTATGGACACAGCAAACAAATAAATACAAACACAAAAGAATCATTCAAGGCTTTTACACTGTTGTCTGCTGGCCAGCTCTGGAATGAATCCAAAGAAGAAAATGTTAGATCGCTCCAGGAGTCCATAGCCGAAGCTGTCCAAAGCGAACGATACCTTTTCTATGTTCTTCGGAGGTTATGCTTGCCTCGTCCTGCCATGCCAAAGAGACGAGAAAGTTCGCGAAAACTACGAATTCGTTCCACATTAGCCGAAGCTGTCCAAAGCGAACGAACCTTTTCTATGCTGCATGGAAGACTTTAGATATCTTCTTTGTCTAGAAAGCGGTGATTCTTGCCTTGTCCTGCTATGCCAAATAGACGAGAAAGTTAGCAAGAGCCACATATTCGTTCCATACCTTGACAACGATTTCGCTGTAGCGTTCCAGTGCGATGTCCTGATCAATCGTCCATCCTACTCTTCTCTGTGGGTCTCGAATTGGAGTAGGCCTGTCAAAGTCGAAGTTTTGGGGAATTCTTCAAGTCCCATTCGCTCGCGTGTTGGAGAATGTTGGCCATGAGCACGTACGCAGCTGAGTTGCAAGGATCGAGCTCCAGTATGCTTCCGTAAGCGGCCCGACCAACGTCGACGTTTTTCCACTTGTGACAGGCGCCGAGAACACTCATCCACAAGCTTGGTGTGGGCGAGGCACCGGACATCCCCCTCAGTACTGCCACTGCTTCGTCGAGAAGGTTAGCTCGGCCTAGAAGGTCCACCAAGCAGCTATAGTGCTCGATCCCTGGAGTGATACTGCGCTGCGTCATAGCTCTAAACACCTCCTTCCCGTTCTCCACAAGTCCGGCGTGTGCACACGCTGTGAGAACCGTAAGATAGGTGACCGAGTCCGGAGCTAAACTCGTCCGGCACAGAGCTTCGAATGCTTCCAGCACTTCTTTCATCTCCCCTTGTTGGCTATAGCCTGCTAGCAGCGCGTTCCAAGTTACCAAGTCGATGCTTGCCATGGACTCGAAAACTTGCCGCGCTCGATTCATACTTCCAGACTTCCCGTACAAATCCACCAGAGAAGTTGCGACTCCCGGCTGGCCCTCTACTCCAGCAGTGCATATCTTGGCATGAATTCTCCTCCCAGCTCCGGAAAAACCTTGGCTTGCGCAAGCCTTGAGCACGGCCACAAAAGTTGCTGGATTCGGAGCGCAGCCATCACCCTCCATTTTCTCAAAGAGCTCTAGCGCCATCTCTGCTTCTCCACCTTGTGCATAGCCCAGAATCATCGCCGACCACGAAACCACGTCTCGGAAAGACCTCTTCATCCTCTGGAAAATGCTCCAAGCCTCTCCCAGGCTTCCACACTTGCAGTACATATCCACGAGAGAGCTCGCGATCGAAGCATGGAGCTCGAATCCAGAGCCTCGAATCTGACAGTGCAAAGCTCGCCCGATCTCCAAGCTCTTGAGCTTCACCACCTTTCCATCCACAAGCTCGCCTTCGTCGACCACCGCTAGAGCCGCGCAAGCTTTGATCACTGCGAGGTAAGTCACTCGGTTTGGAGCGCAAGGCATCCTCCGGAAAGTTTCTAGCGCCAACTTTGCATCGCCAGCCTCGGCAAATCCCAAGATCATCGCACTCCACGAGACGACGTTGCGTTCTTCCATTCTTCCAAACAAATCCCGGGCATCCACCGAGCTCCCACACTTCCAGTACAGATCCACCAGCGTGCTGGCCACGAACAAGTCCGATTCCAATCCGTGCTGGCAGATCTCCAAGTGAAGAGCTCGAGCGGTTTCGAGTGCCTGTTCTCGAGAGTTCTCGCAAGTCGCGGCACAAGCCTTGAGAGCCGCCAAGTAAGTGACGCGATTTGGAGCGATGGAATCGTCGCTGTCTTGCTTCATTCTCTGGAAGAGTCCTAGTGCCAAATCCCCTTCCCCATTCTCGGCGTAGCCCAGGATCATCGCACTCCAAGACACCACAGAGCGATCTTCCATGGCATCGAAAACCTCGCGAGCCTCGTCGATGCTGCGGCATTTCGCATACATAGTGACCAGGGCGCTCGCAATGTCGGCGTCGATGCCATCGTCGCCATCGAAGCCCGGCGATGCCCGGCGATTCTTGACGATGTAATCGTGGATTCGCTTACCGGACTGGAGATCCCCGACGCGGCCGCACGCCTTGAGCGCTGCCGCGATGATGGATTTCGCCGGGGAGGAGCCCTCGCTTTGAATCCGGTCGAAGGCGTGGATTGAATCCCTCGCGCTGCGCATTCCATTAAACAGAAGTTAGGGCTCTTTCCAAGAATTGACCGTTTAAACTTGAGATTTTTCATGTAGTGGATGCATGATCAGTTAAAAATTTCTAGTAGATTAGTTTTTCCCAAAGACACATATTTATTATTACTACCAACTGACTAAGAACTGCTAAAAATAAATTATTTAGTATAACATTTTATTAAGAGTTTGATTGTTGTAATTTCTAATTTAAGGTTCATGTAGGAATTAACACTAAATTAACAAGTTGGTTCATGTTCCATTTGATATTTAGTGCTTCTTTACATGATTATCAAAATAAAATTATTTTTTACATTAAAATTAATTAATATTTTTTAAATAAAATGTAAAATTTACTGCAAAAGGGCATTAAAATGATGTGTAAGATATTATTAAATACATCAATGATATAACAAATATAAAAATTAACATTCTAGAAAAGTTCATCATTGTAATATTTAAAATAAATAAATATGAGCATAACAATGTGATGTAATATATAAGGAAAGCTAGATTATGAAGTGATTTATGTTTTATCCAGTATCTTTTTGCTATGTTGGTGTATAGTAAAATTTAAAAAGTAAATTAATATTTCTTTACACCCAAATAAAACTAGTTAAAATAAAATATAAATTTAGCTTTAAATGAAGTTACAAAAATATGGATTTTCTAAAAATATTAACCTAAATATTAATATTATTTTTGATATAAAAAGTTTTGGATAAAAACATTTCCCTTATAATTATTTACATTAACAAATTTTTAACTATTTAATATCAAAAGTTAAAATTATATAGAAATTTAAATTAGTTAAATTTTACTTTACCTTTGAAGCTCTCAAGAGGTATTTTGTCAATTTAAATAATTTATAAATAATATACAATAAAGTACTAAAATTTATATTTATATTATAATATAAAAATCACTAAAATTAATTTATAATATTAATTTTATATTGTGTAAAATATAAATATTATATTATATTGTTTATATATTACTCAAAACAAATGATCAAATAACTTTTGTTAGCTCTAAAGCAAAAGTAAAAATTAAAAATCAAAACTAGCAAGTATATTTAATATTTCAAAGCTAAATAATTAAAATTTATCTACTATCATTGATATAATGTATTTAAAGATATAAAGAAAAATTAATTTATTGTATATAGTTATATCTTATTGACCAACTAACATATTACACACACACACACACACAGATATATATATATATATATATATATATATATATATATATATATATATATTGGTCAATAGTTGGTCAATAATAGATAACTATATATAATAAATTACTTTTATATATGTTATTTGACCAACTATATATAGTTATACCAATAGTTGACCAACTTATATATGTTATTGACCAACTATATATAGTTATATATTATTGACTAATCATGAGAAAAAACTTAATAGTGTGAAAAAGTAATATATTTTTTATTTTATGGTGATATATAATAATGAGAAAAACTATTATATTTTAAGTTTATAATGATATAGACCTTGATGTTTTTTATTTTATTTTATAGACTCATATAAATTAAGCAGCTTATTTAAAATATTCACATTATTTCATTTTTTTTATCTCTTGACCATATAATTTTTTTATGAATCTAAATTATCAATATACAAATTATAAGTGTATAAATTATGGAGAAATATACATTTTTAGGTTCAGATTAAAACCAATCTAATAACTATCAAAATCACACTACATTAATTTTAGTATACAACATTGTAGCCATGTATTTGGACATCACATCAAAAAGATGTCCTATCAAAAAGATGGAAGATAGTTAATGGTTTGGTTGATGGGTGAGGATTTGAATGAATAATAGAAGGAAGCACCAATGGATATATAGATGGTACAACTTGTTGTTGATATATATATAAGTGCTTAACTATTTAGCTATTTCACATATGTAATTTTTAGAGGATTGGCTTATTGAATGTGATGCCAAACTTCATAAATTTGCAATTAAACTTTCTATAACATTTAGTACAATCCCTTTCACTAAATAAAAATCCTCTTAAACAAACTATATATTGTAAAATTAGGAAAACAAATCAATAGCAAATTGTCCATTTATATTTTGCAAGTGGATGATGATTGAATTTGTAATATCATTGTTGTCCCATTTGTATGCCTATGACATACCACTTTTTGCTCCCCCTGGCTTCGAAACATAAGTATTCAATAGACTCTACTCAAATTAGTGAAAGAATGCTTATGAAGTACTAATCTCAAGTCCTAGCATTAGCATTTTGTAACATTTGCAAAAATAAACTCAACTTTATTGGTAGTATTAGATTATAATTATATATTTTTTTAATGAAACTTTATACATTTGTGACATATGTATACTAAAGAGACATCAAATAATTATCCCAATCTAAATGCTAAAAGTTTATGTACTTCATAATCATCCTTTTGAAAATTTGAATGAACCATTCTACCAAACCTATATGGATGATAAACACTTGTGAAAGTGTTGCATATCCTAATAGAAACATTAAAACATAAAATACCTCAATTATAAATATAAAATTATTATTTGAGAGAATCCACTTTGGACAATAATATTAGAACACCATTTGATTAAGGAAGAAGTATCTAATAGTAATTGCAAATGCACTAACAAGAGTACCAACTTCCACCTAATGAGTCAAATAGTCAAAAGTGATAATGATATTCTCATCATCAATAGTTGACTATGGGAAAAGCCCAATTAGATCAAATATCACCAACTCAAATGAATAAAAAATTGCAATCAACTTCAACTATCCTTTTGTAACTTGATAGAGAGTATTATGAGTTTAGCACTAAATCCAACTATGTACATACTAGATAACATTAAATTATATCTCCAATTAATAGAAAGATATGTATAACTTCTTAGTCACATAACGATATCTTATATGTTTGTCTAAAACAGAAGCGTTAGAATAAGCTTGGAATAAAGATTAAAGACACCACCAACCATAAATGATTATTATGATTAATCCTTACAAAAGAAAGAAGGTCATCCTTAAGGTGATATTAAAAATGTAAATGCCAAAACAACAAATTATTAGTATGTAATACAAAATTCTCATACCCATAACAAAGCCTTGAGATTTATGATTTAACTTTTTGAGTCTCATGAACCTCATCAAACATTAATAATAGCTATAGAACTCTCTAGGTAATGAATAACCTCAAATTCATATATCTAAACTTTCAAAACTCCCTAAGTAGAATGACCAACTAAATTCTTCAACAACACTCACAATAGTGCAATATGATTAAAAAAATGATTAATAAAACAATCAAGATATTGCGTAAGAAGCACTACATATCATTTATACACTTCAGAATAGGGAACTTCAAAATAATCACAAGTTTTTCAGAATCAACTTACAAACCTTTCTAACATCTCCTCTCCTTTTTTATAGCGCACCTTATCCCATGATCACATGCACTACACTCACCCCCCCTTTAGAGATCTTTATCCCATGATCACATGCGTTACACTCACCCCCCTTTATCCTCTAAGGTTCCAAAGATCCACGATGACAGTATATTCAAATCTCATCCCAACACTCACCCCCCTTTATCCCCCAAGGTTCCAAGGATCCACAGTGACAGTATATTCAAATCTCATCCCATGATCACATGTATTACACTCACCCCCCTTTTAGAGATGTTAATGTCTTTATTGATTATTGACTAACAACCCCTATTGAGCCAAGGGGAACCACCACCTCCATTTCCGCACTGAATCTATCAGTCATTCTATTGTGTAGACCAACTATTCCATGTGAGGCAATTAGTCATCCACCTGTACTGCAGTCCCACAGTGGATACTTTCGTCCGTGAATATTCCACACAAGAGGAAGGATGTACGTATGGATGCCCAATACGTACAATTTCAAATTTAGGGGTAAGAATATACCTTTCTCAAGGGCATATTATATTTTTAAGTAGCCACTAATCAATGGGAATCAAACCTGTGCCATTTGCTCCGATACCAATTGTAACGCACCTTATCTCTCTCCCCTTAAGCCAACTGAAAAAGGGGCAATTGCTTGATAATAGAGCCCTTAGTGGCTATTTTATCCCCATTTATCCCCTAAGGTTCCAAAGATTCACGGTGACAGTATATTCAAATCTCATCCCATAATCACATGCGTTACATTTTTCCACCATTATGCAATATGTGGGTGGCCATTTCCTTTCCCATTCACGGCCATCTCCTCTTACTTGTGGCCACTCCTCTCCCACTCATAGCCTTTCCTCTCCCACTTCGAGGCCATCTCCTCTCCCTCTTCCACCATCACGCAGCATGTGGACAGCCATCTCTTTTCCTTCTTCCATCATCTCACTGTACTTAAGTGGCCATCTCCTCTCCCTCTTTCACCATCTTCTTTTACCATCACAGCCATCTTCTTTCCACTTGCGTGGTTATATCTCTCCCTTTTTGGGCCATCACTATTGATCTTTTCTTTTGCTAGGATGTTTGTTTTGCTTTGACTTTGGGCTGCTTGAGGTTTGTATGAGAGATGATTTGACCTTTTTCTTTCTTCTTTTCGTGTATATGCTCTTTGTTTGATCTTTCCATTGCAAGCATCTTAGAAAAAAAAAAATTGAAGTCTTTAGACCTTTGGAAAGTTTTAAATCTTTAGAAAGTCTCTACATTTTTAGATTTGTGAGGAGTTCCAAGATCTAGATTGAGATTCTTAGGGGTCTTTAAAATTCTTAGATCTACAAGAAACTCTAAGATCTTATTTCATTTTTAATTTTTTTTAATGTTTTTAAGCACCTATGATCAGTTGAGCTTGAAGCGCCTATAATTGGATAATATTGAAGTGCCTTAGTTTAGTATGAGGTCTTTGTCCTCAAAGTAGAAGTTAAAAGCAAACATTAGTTTTAGATGTGTTTACCTCAAACTCAATGATATATTTATTTTTTTGTTTGGTTTTGTTTATCTCAGACTCCATCTTGGGTC